ACAAAACAGGAAAGAAACCACTTTTTTATTTCAAGAATTTTTAAGATTTTAAAGTTTGAAGGTGTGGAAATCTAGGCATTTTAGGTTGTAAGAAGTTAGCATTTGAGGATTTGAGGATTTTGCGATTTGGAGGTCTAAAAATTTGGGGATTTAGGAATTTGGGGATATAAGGATTACAGGAATTAGGAATTCGGGAATTTAATGATTTGGAGGTCTAGAGATTTGGGAAGGTAGGGACTTGGGGAAATAGGAATTTAAAAATGTAGAAATTTAGGAATATAGGGATTTGGGGATGTAGGAATTTGGGGATGCGGAAATTTCAGAATTTAGAAATTTGGAGGTCTAGAGATTCTGAGAGACAGGGACTTGGGGATATAGGAATTTAGAGATATAGGGATTTGGGTATGTAGAGATTTGGAGATGTGGGGACGTGAGGATGTAGGGATTTGGGAGTGTGGAGATTTAGGAATGTGTGAATTTGGGTATGTAGGGATTTGAGTATGTGGGGATTTGCAGATGTAGGTATTTGGGGATGTGGGGATTTGGGGATGTGGTGATTTGAAGTTGTGTGAATTCGGGGATGTGGGGATTTGAGTATGTGGGGATTTGCGGATGTAGGTATTTGGGAATGTGGAGATTTAGAAATGTGTGAATTTGGGTATGTAGAGATTTGGGGATGTAGGGATTTGAGTATGTGGGGATTTGCGGATGTAGGTATTTGGGGATGTGGGGATTTGGAGATGTATGGATTTGGGGATGTAGGGATTTGAGGATGTAGGAATTTAGATAAGTAAGGATTTAAGGATACAGGAATTTGGGAACACAGGCATTTGTGTATATGTATAGAGATTTTAAGCTGATCAGATTTCGGGATGTAAAGATTTGAAAATGTAGGAATTTAAGGATTTTAGAAAGGACCCACTTTCTTTTTTTCAACGACAGTCCTAGTACAGGCACAGCAAGAAACACAAAAATTCACCTAATGCCTACTATCTGGACATTAGCACTTGTTACTGACATAATGTAGACGCGCCCTTATGTAGACACTTATTGCGAACACGCCTTTACCCATCAACACGACTACGATACGGTCGTACTATACAAACAGTCGGTTAATGTTTCAAACCAATGATATTCGAATTGGTACAAAGCAAATTTGATGAATCGATTTTGAAAATAGGGAACTAAATACAGTAGTGCAGTTGGAGAGAAAGCTAACGTATCCTTTGGTCTCAGAGAAGACGTCACTAGTCATTGTATCGTCCATTTTGATAAACCGTTTCCGATGCATCCAGAATGAAAATAAAATATTTGGTCATTTTTATCATTACTCGTTGAGGAAACGTTTGATAATGCCTTTAATTGTAGAAATATGAAATCACTGAAGAATATCGGAGTGACTGTGGTCCGAAAGTAGTTAATGTTTGAGGTTTGAACTAACTTTAATATGAGTCCAAATATTTTATTCATGGTTGATTATTCTTCTCTGATTTTATATTTTTTCTTTATTTAGTTGTGTACTGAAGTAGAGCTTATATAAAAATAAGTTTGTTAGCAATTATTACGTTTAGCCTATTAATATTTCGTGATTATAATAAGATTAATATTTTACGTAACTATTGTAAATACTGAGCAAGGAAACGTGTTACGATTTGTTAATTATTTAAACATTAGTAAATTATAGATTTTCTAATTTAGAAATTTTGAGATTTGGAAATTTAATTTTGTAATGTAGATATTTGAGCATTTGGAAAATTGGATATTTGAATATTTTTCAAGTTTGAGAATTTGAAAACGTAGTTATTTGGAATTTTTGGAACTTTTGAGTTCGAGAATTTGGGAATTTACAGGTTTGAAAATTTTTTAATTTAAAAATTATGAAATTTTTGAATTTAGAACTTTCAGACTTTGAGAAGTTAAAAAATTGAGAATTTGGAAATTTTGTGAGAATTTTTGAATTTGAGGGTTTAAGGATTTAAAAATTTCGAAATTTCGAAATACGAAGATTTAAAAATTTGAGAAATTACAAATTTGAAAGTGAAAATTTGAAAATTATTTAAAAATAATTTAATTTTGAACTTCAAACTTTTCAAAACTTTTAAATCTCTCTTATTAAGCAAACATTTATTTCATGTAAATTCTCCATTCAAAATTGAAATACGTAATAAAGTCATTTGCTTTAAATGCACATCTCATTCTATACAAGTTATTACTCTCAGTTTATTAAATATATGGCGTAACAATGCACGTAATACTATTTTCCCGTCAGTTTAGTTACTTCATACTGTGCCAACAGATATTTACGCATGTTCCTAACTTCGCCAGTATCACGATTGTTCCCGAAACTTCCAAACCGACTTGTATTCGCAAAGCTTGATTCACTCTCCTGAATCATCCTACAACAAGATTCTCACAAATTGTTTCGATACAGACGAAACATACGTTTCATCGCAACAGGTCTTCATACAATAAACCATGCTTTTTATTAATATTCCCAGTGAATGTCTGCTAGCAAACAACGAGAAATGGAGGAAATAGACATAGAAAGCGTTGTTCATGCTCGTTACTTGGCGAATCGCGATCATAATGACCCTTCTTGTTAAATTGAGCATCAGCCAAGTGATTTACGTTGATTGCTTGTCACGTCATGCGTTCTACTCTCTCTTTCTCTCTCTCCTCTCTCTCTTCCACTCTTTGTGTACGCCTTAACTATAATTTTCCTTCCGGAAACCATACATTTACAATACAAGGTGGACCAATAACTTTCCATTATATCCACCGATATCGTTTACATTATTTAATTAATTAGACCTTTTGAAAAACTTTCTTGCGGTACCGTGCGTGCGTGGTAAGTTGACGTGCAATTGCACAGTGTTTAAATGAAATCGACGTGAAATGAAATCCCGTGGTCCCTTTACAAGATATACATTTAATTTCTGCCTTATTTTAGAAAGTTGCGCGATACAATTTTGCAAAATGATTTCATTTGATATGTTCTATGATTGTAGAATGTTGGAATGAAATCGGTGTTGCAAAAGTCGTATAGTCCTGTTGCATGATACAATTTTAGACGTTAATTTCTCGTGTATTTTGGAGAGTTGCGCACTATAATTTTGCAAAATGATTTCTTTTGATGTCCTTTATTATTATGCAACGTTTAAATTGAATCGGTGTTGCAATCGAGTGGTCTCCTTACAAGATACAGGTTCAAACGTTTATTTCTCCCATATTTTGAAGAGTTGCGCATTATGGTTTTGCAAAGTGATTTCTTTTGATATCTTTTATGATTATACAACGTTTGAATTGAATCGGGGTTGCAAAGACGGTGTAGTCCCTTTGCAAGATGCAAGTCTGACGGCTGCAGCTCCCGTTCGAAGAATGTTCGACCTTCAAAAACGGAGAAGGAACGCAAGCAGTAGTGGCGCGTGGTTCATAGCGGGCTATTTAACGGTCTTTGCGAAATTGAGTCATCACGCGGTTCGCCTGGAATCTCGAATATTTTCCTCCCGATGCTTCAGAGTTCTCCGTAAACCCTCCCTCCTGCTTTCTCCCCAGTCACACCAGCCTCCTTCTCTTTCCCTAGTTTACCGTTTACCCCTCGTCTCCCTTGCTACTTGTGCATCAGCAAACCCTCGAAAAGTCTTGAGAAGCTGATCAACGATGAAACCATAGTGTCTCCATGTATTTTGAGGCACGGGATTCTGTACCGCTCCATGATGCATGGAGGTTGCGAAAAAATGTGGACTCCTGCAGGAGTTTGAAGCCAAAACAAGATTTCAAGAGTGGTTACTGCAATATAACTAATTCATAAGTTGTAGTAGACTCTCGTTATGTTGCTTAAAGCTAGAAAAATCTTTCTTAAATAAGTGTTTAATGCGATACTGCAGAAGAGTGTAATGCGTGTAATTAAAATTGCATACCACGCAAAAAAAACGTACCTTGTACGAGGGGTTAAAGTTATTTAATCGTAGACATACGCGTGGAGGGTGCAACATGCATTCTTTCGATGTACTGTATGGTTCGATAAACCACAATAACAGGATTTATGTATGAATATTGAGAAGTAGGGTGCCAAATGGCGCACGATTCAATCGATCGATTTCCATTATGAAAAACAGCGACGAGAAAAAAGAAGGAAAGAGATAGAGAAAACGACATTCGGTGGTAAAAATCTGTCGAGCATGCAAATGGAACATACTCATTGTCGACGAAAGACCCTCGTGGGTTTTCATCGACCCTCGAAAACTGAATGCACTCGATTAATTCGAGTTCACGTTCGTTTCTCACCCTTCTCGCGATCTCTTCTGCCCTCTTTAAATTTCCGATTGCTCGTTATCAGACTCGTGTAATCGTCACTGCATCATATGCAATTATTAAATGAAATCCACTCTCTTCTTTTGTATAATAATTTAGTTAACAAGATTATTATTAATAGTTTTATCAATTTTTGCACGAAACATTTTGAAAATTCTAAAAATTGAAGATGATTTAAATGGAATGTTTATGTGAGGCGTAAAATATCTACGCTTTAGTAATATTATTAATTTTAATAATATTATTCACTTAACTTAATTATTAAATAATGTAAGTGGTTGTTTAGGAAAATTAAAAAATATGAAAGTTTTGTCCAATGTTCAGAAAAGTTTTTTAAATTTGAAATGGTGACTGCGGCATCCATTTTGTATTAGAAGATATTAATGTAATTTTTCATTGAACTTGAACCTTAAATTGATAGAAAATTATTGTTATTTTAGGATACTTTTACGTTATTTTATTCTGTCAAATATTAACGTGGAATACTTATATTTATTATTATTATTATTGGTGTATTTATAGGACAAATCCCTTGTATTTATTATACATATAATGGAATTCGAATTTTTTATTCAAATTTTAAATTTAAATTAATTTAAATATTTATGTATATTTGAATCTGAGTTTATTATATAACTGAATTTGAATTTATGATATAATTGAATTTTGTATGTTCGTTGTTACAGGACGTAACGAGTTGATCGCCCGTTATATCAAATTGAGAACAGGCAAAACGAGAACGCGAAAACAAGTCTCTTCACACATACAAGTACTCGCCAGGCGAAAACTGCGTGAAATTCAAGCAAAACTCAAAGTGGTAAGTATCTGTTTACTTCCAGTTTCCTTTGGTTATCTTATAATTTCATATTTTCCGTATTTTTTTCCTTCTTTTTGTCGTTTACCTTTACATCTATAGATATCTAAAAGAAACTGATAACTGCAGCCTACTTGAAATTGCATAAACGTTCTAACGTCAGAAATTGCGAATAAACCCCCAAAGTATAAATGTCTCTAGAAAATAATTTACTTGCAGATTGCAAGTAGTTGTCGTATATACGTAAACATATGCTATTGTTTATATAATATTTTTTCTCGTTGAACCATGATCTTTAAATTAATGTCACATGTACCATTTTATGGTACTTTTGTGTCAAATTTCCTGAAATCTAACACCATTGCAAGTATATCGATTGAGGTACAATGTTAAATCGTTAACCACCGGCTGATAATTAATTAAATATTTCAGTTACAATCGTTAATCATTTGTCCAATTAAATACTACCTAACACTGATACCACTTAATAATACTGTATGGTCTCCGATGTCAAATTTGCTTAATTTCGATATAATAGTAATTATACGTCGATTGAAAAGCAATATGTAATCGATACTTGATAATTGATGATTAAGCATGTTAATTATAATTATCGGTAGTTAATTAAATTAAATATTGTTCAACACTGAAACAACCTAATAATTCGACATGGTCTTAGATGTTAAATTTGTTTAAATCTAACTTGATTGCAGTTATACGTCAACTGGAAAGCAATACATAATTGATAATTGATAACTGATGTACAAACATATTGATTATAATTGTCAGTCATGAATCAAATTAAATATTATTCAATACTTATACAACCAAATAATTCTAGATAATTTTACATGTCGAATGGGTTTAAATTTGACTTGATTGCTATATCAATTGAAAAGCAATATGTAATCGATAATTGATAACGGATCATTAAACATATTGAAAATATCAATCAACCAAATTAAATATTAACTACAACTAAATAAATAAAAATCAAGTACTGTCATTACTTAATACTGCCCATAAATTCTCCATAAAAGTAAACTTAATTGATAGGTAACCCCAATCACCCTCTCATCCTAAAAGTTCCAACAACCCAAATTTTGAACGTAATTGTTCAAAGGATGAAGAATAACGGTACAAAATTTTTGGTAAAAAACCGACTATTCACAAAATTCCTCCATTCATCTGATTTTTAATATATTTTTTTTTTAATTTATACCGGTCGATTCGAATGGAGCAAGAATTAATCGTTAGCAGAGAGAATTCGTTCGATCAAGAGCGACGCTGGATGGTTTGTAGCCGAATAAATCACGCGTAAAAATGAACCCGGCCCGTTTAATCAACAGCTGAATTATTAAAGCGATTTGGGAACAATTGCACGGCTGTTAATAAATCACAGCAGGCTGCATTCGACGATGAGAGCCGATACACAGAGAGCGGAGAGGAGAGAGAACGAAGCTGCGCTCGGATGTGTGCGTTGTTTATACGAAGCACGGTCAATAGTCCGGCAACGGAAATAAAAAGAGAACAAAACGAACGTGTAAATTAAGCAATCCGAGCGTGTTTGTACGCAGTTAATCAATGTTAACGCGTTGCATAGCACACTACACTGGGCCAGTTTATTTTTCATTTTAACAGTCAAATGAAAACCACGAAACTGGAAGGAAGGAAAATTAATTGGTGTTAGAAACTGTGACGTTCGAAGTGCTTTAAAGTAGATATGCAATATTTGACACGCGAGTTTTTGGACAATAGATATAAGCAAATGGCATCAAGGAAATGGCGCAGAAATTACAGTTGGGAAACTGGTAACGATCAAAGAGGACAATTTTCCGCCGATGCATTGGAGCATTGGTCGCATCATCGCGGTCCATCCAGGGCAAGATAGTGTAATACGTGTAGCAACTGTAAAGACACCGTGTGGAGTGTATAAACGTTGTGTAAACAAACTTGCGCCGCTACCAATTGATACACCGACAGACAATGCGTTGGTGACATATAAAGTGTTATAGGATAAGATAAACACAATGTATTCAATTATAAGCATATTCTAGTTAATAAGTCATTTATAAAAGTAAAATTAGAAGTTTCCTCCGCTAGTAAACAATTGATAAGATATACATATATATAGTTCATTCAATAGCTGTAGAATTCGCGTTGGTGACATATAAAGTGTTATAGGATAAGATAAACACAATGTATTCAATTATAAGCATATTCTAGTTAATAAGTCATTTATAAAAGTAAAATTAGAAGTTTCCTCCGCTAGTAAACAATTGATAAGATATATATTATAGTTCATTCAATAGCTGTAGAATTTAAATCAATTTTCTTAGCGTTTTTGTCTTAAGTCCGTTTGATATTCACAGTAAACATGTTGTATGACTAGTTTTAAGTTGTATCGAAGTTAAGGAACTCCAGTGTAATCAAATTCAATTGAACGCACTCGTTCAAGGCGGGCGGCGTGTTACTGCGTAACAAATATTATACAAATTTGTAAGTCGTTAAAATGACCTGTGACCTCTCAAGGTAACAAAAATTAACCATCCAGGTAGGGTAATTGAAAAACATATTTCGACGAAACCTTCTAAAATCATAAAGTCAAAAAGTTCAATAATATACCTGATTACCCTTACAGATATCATAAAAAAGGTCACCGGTTTACACACCCAGGAAAGTTAAAAAAATTTACAATCTCAACCGCCCTAAACATAGAAGCTCCAGAGAACTTACCTGAGGCTAACGGTAGTCCCCGCCAAATGTATGTCATTTCCCCAAACTCAAGAAAATTTCGAATCACCAATCAGAACCGTTGTTAGAAAAAGCCCCCACTATAAGAACAAGTTAATGTCGACAGAAAAATTTGCGAGAAAGCTCAGATACAAACATATCAGCATAGGAATAACATTAAAATAATCTTCTACGTGCCGTCCGATAAAATTCACAAACTTATACTTTAAAATATTCATAGTTGTATTAGTAAATATAATAAGTGTTACATGGAACTTCATCATAGTATTCATTATCCAACAGTTTCAAATATTCACTCGCCGTGAAGTCTGCGTGTGAAGTGAGCATTTTCGAAAGTAGCTTTCAATATAAAAAATAACTATTTTGCTCACGAGTCAACATTATGAAACTGATAGACAAATATTGATAGCAAATTTCGCGGAAAGTGAATGATTGATCTTGTGCAAATTGCATAAATCCACTAGCACACACTTTATTTAAAATTAATAATGAAAAATAGAGGAAACGACAAAACATAAATTAACACAGTAATTCTTTATTTCGAGAATCAGTACAATGTTTTCATTTTGACAAATTACTATAATTATAATAAATTTATGAACCGATCATTTGACCTTTTTGATAGTTTTAGTGTTTAAGCATTATATGCCAAATTTTTACTTTAAATTTACCGCATGAATTTTAAATGTACATGTCACTTTTATAAGGTAATATTGAAGCAAATAATAATTTTAAAAACCAGAACGTGTTTAACGAATACATATTTTATTCAGTATAATCTTGTTGCAAATGACGAAAAAATACATATATTCAAATCCCTGCTCGGGAATTGCGGTAGCAAATGGGTTACTGAAATTTTTATTGCAATTTTTAATTTAAAGGGTTTGATATTTAAAACAGAAAATATGCCTTCAGATATGAATTTAAATATTTGGAGAAATAGAAATTTATGGTTTGATCATTTTATATTTTGAAAAGAAGATGTTTCCAACAATTTCAATTAAAAATTTGCAAATTTAAAAAATATTGAAATATTTACTATTTAAATACTTGAATATTTTCATGTGACGGATTTATAAATTCTGAAATTTAAAAATTCAGTAATATGGTTTAAGAAAATTCAAGAACTTAATTTAGAGTTATTAAACTTTAAAAAGTAGAAATTTAAAAATGTTAAAATTTCAAAGTATTACATTTTAAGACATGGAAATTTTTGAAATTTATAAATCTAAATGTATCAAATTTTAAAACGTATAAATCTGAAAAGTGAAAGATCTGAAATCATCAAATTTTTTGAATCATTAAAATTTAAGTTTCAAAACTGTCAAATTTTAAAACAACAATGTAGAAACTTGAAAACCTAAAAGTAACTAATTTAAAAGAATATAAATTTGGAAACATAGAAAATATTAATTAGTAGTTCAGAAATTTCAAGATATAATAATGAATTTAAAAATTTATAAATTTACAAATATTTAAACATAAAAAGTTTCGAAATTTACTTGTAACTTAAAAATTTCAAATATACAGAAATCTCATATTTATAATCATAAAAATTTAAAACATGACAATTTAAAATTTGATTTAGTAACGTGATAGTTTAATACAGACACTTTTGCATCCCCATAAATCATTTCAACCCCCATTCCAATTTCTGCAAAAGCGCAGTATTTTAACCAAAATCTAAAATCAATATTTCAACCTAAACCGTTCGCTACGCAGATATCCATCGCGATCAATTAATTTGTAAAGCAACCTCTCAAAAATCGTTTCCCAAAATCGTAGTATCCCACGGCGGTTCCGTTTGTATATTTAATAGAGTCTCATAAATTCCCCCATAAATACGCGGCAGCGTACCGTGCAAGCTCAACGATACGCGAAATAAAAAATGGACCTCGAAATGTGTTGTTCTCTCTGAAACCTCCTTTTATATTTCACCTATCATGATTTATTAAAACGACTGTCGAGTTTTCGAATTAAAAATAAAACAAAACAAAAAAAGAGAACGATTGTAAAATCGAGCGTGGATTGCACACGAGAATTCATTTCATTCCGCGGGGCGGTTGTGAATCTACAGTGGAAAATCAATTCGGTTAATTGAGAGGGTGGCTACCCTCGTGCTATTTTTTTTTCTGTTTTCCATCTCTCTCGTTCTTGTTTCTTTTTTTTTGCGAGAGGGGAGGGGGTGGATCTCGGTGTCTCTTTCGCTCTCTCTGTTTGTTTTTGTCGTTTCCGATATTGCCATCCCT